GTGTTTCAAGCTCATCAACCAGTCCTTGGAAACCCTATATAGGGTTGCTGTGGGTCAGAACCGACTTGACAGCACTTAATAACAACAACCAGAAAACAAATAAGTCTGCCCTGGAAGAAGCACAGCTGGACTGCTCCTTAGAAGTCAGCATAGTACGACTTTGTCTTATGTACTTTGAACAAGTCCTCATGAGAGACCAGTTCCTGGAAAAGGCCATCATGCTTGATAAAGTAGAGGGTCATCATGCTTGCCTTTTTTAGACAGCACCAAACACATTAGAGGTGCTGCAGATGCCATTAGTGTCTTTTCCTTGGAGATATGACTTGGTGAGGATATTTCCCAAGCCTTCTAGAATTGAATATAGCTCGATAATGTCATCTGTGACAATAAAACGCAAACAGCAAAGGAAGTTGCACAAGTTTGCCTAGCCTGGATACTAGCTGTTCCATAACTAAATATATTCTTTAGGATTGGTCCAAGCGTTTTTCAAATCTCTTCACTTTCAATCTCGGGGTCCAACTGCACACCAAAAGCCCACGCTAATGCTGCAGTTCCACGTTACTTGTCACTCTCACCTTTCTTAGACAGTGCCCAGTGCTATCAGTTAAAGTCATTCTTCTTTCCAAAATAAATTCATAAAACATTTTTGAAGACAACACATTTTGGATACCTTCAAGAGCTGCCTGCCTGTCTTTGCACTCTTATCCGGAGGTGCGTCAGTGAATCCCCTCAACTTTATACCCTTAGGTCTTCTTGAGTTCTTGCCTCATCAAGGACTTGTGTTCCATCTTCAGCAAAACTGGAGGGGGCACCAGAACCCCTGCAGTGGCTAAATGTTTCAGCTGATGCAGCCTCATGACAAAAAGGAAGGTTATGCTGGCTGCCCATTGTCACCTCCTCCTCTGGTGGGGACATACTGCCACCTGAACTCAGATCTTAGGGAGGATTAGCCCATGGCCTTCACCTTTCTCTTGGGGCGTCTGGGTGACAGCCCATGGAGAGGTGATGGCGGCAGCAGAAACCCTCTTGAAGAGCTGTGATCAGCAAGGATATGTGTTTCTCTCTAGCATGGGAGCTTGATGGCATTTAACAACAGCAACAAGTGTGGGAGCTAAGGTCTCTGATGCTGTTGAATCAGCACTGAATTGCAGACCACAAGGTTGGCAGTTCAAATATGCCAGCTGCTTCTCAGAAACTCTACACAGGGTCACTATGAGTCCGAACCGACTAAACGATATTTAAGAGCATTTTATTTAATGCTTATAAAGACCCTGAAAAGCTAGACTACAATTCTTATTTTACAATTGCGACAAATAAGGTTGCCAGCCCATGTTAAGGTAGGATTTCAGTTTAGATTTTGGCTTGCTCTGAAAACTTTGGTATTGTTAGATTTGTTATTTCAAGTATTTATTTTAAGCAGGGAAAAAAAGAGGGGGTTAAATAGAACGCTATCTCCCACTTTTCCAGGTATTCGTTTTTCTTATATACAAAACATTAAGGATTCTGACCAAGTGACACAATTGAAAAAAATTAAAAATATTTAGTAAATAACAGAAAGGCAGACAGAAGAGAACATAAAGAAAATGCCGTCACAGAAGTGAGATAAACTCAGAAGCAAAGAAATTAGCTAATGTGTAGCTTACGGAATGAGATGAGGTTCAGACATAGGCCATGTGGGCTGTGGGTTGAGTTTCATAACCAGGCAATGACAGAAGATGTAACCTTGGGTTTCCTACATATTGATAGCTAGAACTGAGATTATTAAATAGAGAGGAAAGTATCAAATCATGAAGACATTAGAGAAACTCTACCCTCCAACCCAAAGGAGAAACAGGGGAATTATCATCTCCATGGGGCTCAAAGTGAGGAGAATGAATCTGATTTTTTTTTAAAAAACTAAGCTCCAAGACTATTGTATTTAGAAACCCTTCACCAAGTATATGAAAGAAACCCTAACTACTCAAGGTGTGGCCTGGGACCAACAGCATTAATATCATTTAGGTGTTTGTTAGGCAGGCCCCATCTCAGGCTGCCCTCCAGAGCTGGGGAGGGAATCAGAATCTGCATTTTAACAAAATCCCCAGTTAACCTGTTAGAGCCAGATTGCTTGGCTTAAAGGGAACAGCTGTAGGTAAAACATCAAGCCAGTTGTTTATTCCTCAGCTCTAGCTTACTGATTGATTAGTGAAGATGACATCCACCAAACTAATATTTCAAAGACTTTTTTCCATTAAAGTGCTTAGCATGGAAAGGTTGCAAGTGTGTGGCCTACAGGCAGGAATTGGAGTAATGACTTACTTTATTTGAACTGCCTAGGAGTTTTGGCAACAATATACTGGCAGTCCTTTAAACTAAGCATGTACTAATCGGTTTTCCCTCTGAGTTAACCAACACACTGTGACTAGTATGACCCTGGCTGAGAGGGGAGGACTGGAAGGGACTGATGTTTCTGTGAGTAAACAGAAAATAATTATAAGGGTAGATGGGTCTAAGAACTATTAAAGTAGATGAACAATAAGTAAAATGATAATGATATTTGCAGCCACTATGATGCCTTCATAAAAGATTCTATATCAATCAATCTT